GGGAGAAAAAAAAAAAAAAAAAAAAAAAAAAGTTGACAAGATATAGAAGATACAATCTAGAGCACAAGTAGATTGCATTAACCTTATAAAGAGTGAGATTATTATTCCTCTAAGAAAGATAAAAGGAAGAATGATTTTGGAAGGAGAACAGGTACGTATTAAATGGAATGATATGACAAAATGGAGTTTACCACTGATCAGTGGGGAGATAAAATCACTGACATTAAAATGATTGCTAAGTGGCAGTGAGGGCAAGACATTTTTAAGTGGCACTGAAGGGCCCGACACCACTTCTAAAGCAATGCCAAGAAACTGAGGTGTGAGGGCAGATATGGATGGTTGGTTAGATCCAGGACTGGAGGGTAGCAAGTGTGTATGGTAGAAGAATGTAGATATAAAGGTTTTTAATTGTACTGAGAAAAGTGACTGATGTGGTAGACTGTAGGGTCAAGCCCACATAGTGAAGAAAGAAAATCTAGAGAGAAACTGAAAGTTGAGGTAAAAGGTGGAGATTCAAATACTAGGAGCTCTCATTGGTGGAAGAGAGATTCAGTGAGTATATGGAAATGAGAATATCTTGAGACAGGCTACTGGCCTTTAAAAATCACATAGGTCTAATAAGATGCAGTGAAAAATTAAAGATGAAGCTATGGGAGAGGTTCAGTGAAGTAAAGATTAAAGACAGAAGTGGAAAAGGTCCAAGAATTCTGAGGGTTAGGGTGTTTGGTAGGTTAGCGACATGGGCATGTTGTCACCCATGAAGATGGAAAAGGCTGAGGTACAGAAGTCTGAGAACTAGGTGCAACATTCATCAAGGCCCTGCATGAAAGTCTGGTTGTTACTTTGTATGTGATGTTTTTTGTTAACAAAATCTTTTCCATTTATAAATTATACATTTTTAAAAAGCAATTCTTTTATCCCAGCATCATTAAGATATTCCCTTACATTTTCTTTTATGTTTAATTGTTTGCTTTTCACTTTTAGGTCTTTAATCATCTAGGAGTTCACCTTTGTATATGACATAAGGAAGGGACCTAATTTTTTTCCTGTAATATATATAATAGCCAATAAATTTCATTTATTAAATAATCCATCCTATCCCCTCTGACTTCTGATGTTACCTCTACCACATACAAGTTCCTATAAATACACGGTCTCTTTCTAAACTCTATTTTATTCCATTTATCTTTTTAAGTTGTTGCAAAAATTTTAAGCAAAGAGTGAATGATCACCTCTTAGGAATGGTATAAGTATTCAAAATGAAAATAATACTGTGTTGTTGTTGCAAACAAATGAACACACAGACATAAAGTTGACATTAATGAACTTAAAAATGTACCTGTACAAGGCTTATTTCTTAGTCCCTGAGTTTTCTGAGATTTTGGAGGCATAGGGAATTGAGGGATACTTCTATTGCATATAGGTGCTGCCAAAGGCATATGAAGGACCTATAAAGAAGACGCCATTAGTTATACTATGTTTGAAAAGCATCACTGCAACATTTTTAGTTCATAAATCTTACTGGATGAGGAGGAGCAGGAAACGTATTTCCATTCTGTCCAACCACAGATACAGGTATCATTCCTACCATTCCCTGGAGTACAGGCTGCACGGGAGAAGCAATTATGATGGCAGATCCTTAAAAAACAAAACAAAAACCAGAAAACTCAATAAAGTAAGATTTTCTCTCATGAACCTAAGACACCAAAGTAATGACTANCAAAAACCAAAAAACTCAATAAAGTAAGATTTTCTCTCATGAACCTAAGACACCAAAGTAATGACTAATTTGAAACAAATTTTCTAAAATTAGCCTGGCTGGGCGTGGCTCAGCAGTTGAGCATTGACCTAGGATCTAGGCGATCGGGGTTTGATTCCCAGTCAGGGCACACGCCTGGTTCCGCGCTTGATGAATGACTCTCCCATCATTGATGTTTCTATCTCTCTCTCTCTCCCTCTCCTTTCCTCTCTCTGAAATCAATAAAGACATATTAAAAAAAAATAAAAAATTATAATCCCTTTCTCTTTACAATTTACTCTTCTTTTTACAAAATTAATTTATGAACAACAAAGCTAGCAAATTAAGAAAAAGTGAATTTGAATATTAAAGTAGTTATGCATTTAGTCAAGGTAAGTATAAGTAAGCATAAGGCTCTACAGCCAAGATACCATATTATATTTATATCTTAATTCCTCTAGAAAGAGCAGTGAAACTGATTAGAAAATTGGTGGTGAAGGTTTCAAGTCTGAATCTTACACCACAAAATTAGGGCTCCAACTGAATGTTAACAGGTCGAGACTTGCTCACAACCCCAACTTATTATCTCAGTAGTATTAGTTAAGAAAGGTCCAGTGAAAACTATGGGAAGAAACACAATGCTTATATGGGTCAACAACAGAGTCTGTGGCTATAATTATTTAGCCCTGCCTTATAAATGAACCTTTCCCTTACACACATTCACTAACTGCTCTAGTGAGGTTGATCTCACTTTCATGAATACCAACTTCAGTATCTCAAATATCTACCTATACTTGTGCTACTTAAGATTCCCTTCCCTTTACTCCAAATACTACCTTATTTCTCTAAGCTTCATCTCGAGTTCCACATTCTCTAGCAATTCTGACCCCTCCTTTATCTTTTTTTAAAAAATATGTCTTTATTGATTTCAGAGAGAGGAAGGGAGAGGGGGAGAGAGACAGAAACATTAATGATGAGAGAGTCATTGATTGGCTGCCTCCTGCACGCCGCCTATTGGGGAATGAGCCCGCCACCTGGACATGTGCCCTGACTGGGAATTGAAAATCAAACCTTGATCTCCTGGATCATGGGTTGATGCTCAACCATTGAGCCACGTCGGCCAGGCTCCTTTACCTTATTTTAAACAGCACTTGATATAGAGCCATTAGGCTTAGTACTTAATTGCCGATATTCAATCAAATTTTAATGTATGCCTATAAATGTAAAAGAGGGGGAGAAAAGTGGGAACCAATAACTAAGGAAATGTAGATGAATGTGCCATAAGCTCTATCTTCAAGGAACATAAATTTAAAAAGGACCAATATGACAGGCCTGTCCATCACCAACTACATATAAAATGGCATGTATTAAATGCCACAAGTGCTCTATAAACAAAGAATTCCAATGACAGGGATCAATTCTGGAAGGTGGAAGACAGAAATTACAAAGGGCTTTATGGAGGGACAAAGTCAAGTTGTGTCTTGAAAGTCTCTCCAAATAGATAATATATTCCTTGAAAATTAAGACTATAATTTAATAAGAAAAAATTCCCACAACACTGGGTTTTAGTACGTATATAGTTATTTGATAAATTACTCTTTTGTCTTTTGTAATTCAGCACATGGATTGGGAAGTAATTGTGAAAAAAAAGGGAAAAACTGTAAACCACCAAGTTCCATAGCTTAGCAATAGACACAAATTAGATCCTATTCCACAGAAATAAACTTCAGTGTGTTCTTAGTTACCTTGTGAAAAGTTGGGTGACACAGCTTGGTTGACAGCAAATACACTGTTTGACCTTGGTGGTGTCTGTAACTGTGGTGGTGAAGGTTGGGCAGTCATAGGTGCAGCATTTCCAGGCAACACCACAACATTAGACTGACTTACAGTTGTTCCTAAAGCTGTTGGATCAGTCATGCAGGTAGCTATCAGAATGTTACTTGAATTGCCAAAAGTTGTGCTTGTAGCTGGCATCAACTGTATATACCCGCCATCCTTGGTAACACATGGTGTGACACTGGCTGAAAAAGCAATGCTGTCCTCACTCTGAGTGTTGTTTACTGCAGAGTCTTCAGGTTTAAGCACTAAAAGGCTCTGTTCCATTGAGGCTGAATCCCCTATTCCTTCAGCAGATGTGACAGCACCTGCAGTTTCTTCTGAAGACAGGCATTTAACTAATCCAGCATTTTGGGCAGGTGATTTAGCAGAAGACAAAATTATAGTTGGCACGTTTTCTCCACTGATACTAGAAACGGCACTGTTAAGTTCAGCATCTGAGGAAACAAATGAATCGTCACTGATGATGATTTTGAGAGAGACAATATTCGATGCATCCATATCTGTTGAGTTGTTGCTAGCAGGTTTATCACTAGTATTTTGGGACTCAGGGTGAGACTCTATCACTGAAGAGCACACAGATTCTGAAGGAAGAGAGCGTCTCTCTTCTACAAGATTACTTTCTGGAGGCATTAATGCAGCTTCCCCACAGTTATTTTCACCTAAAGAGAGAAAAATACTATTTCCACCTTCTTTTACAGAAGATGAAGGATCTTGTGAATCCAAAGCAACTTTCTCAGGCTTGGAGGGCTCAATTTCATGTTCCGTACAATTTAACTCAACACACGATGAATCATTACATGGTTGTTTACCTGAAGACATTGAATCTCCAAGATGAACTTCTCCTTGCTCAGATACATCTAAACCTGAACTTTCAGACACAGGTATTTTACTTTGAAGTGAAGAATTATCTTGGCAATCTGAAAGTTGTTGTGCTGTAACTGGTAATATATCATTAATTTCAATTTTACTTTGTTGTATTTCTCTAGAATCTGGTGACTTGGAACCATGGAAATTAGTTTTCAGTCTTTCTGTATCGTCAGAACTTTCACAAAATTGACTTTTTTTAGATGGCTTTCCAGTTAATGGTATATTCTGGGATAAAAGTTGAGAACTTTTCCCAGAGAGATTTAAGTTTTCATTTTTAGTTTCACCACCAAGGGAAACAAATGAAGTTATTGGTGTATCAGACTGATCTGGCTGTAATTGAGACTCATTCGGCACATTTGGAGACAAAGAGTTCTTTTCAACTTCCATAGCCATTTCAGTTTCAGTGGACATCTGATTGGTGTATAATTCAGCACAATGCTGATTACATTTGGCATCAGAATTTACTCTTTGGTTAAAGTCATTCAAATTAGGCACAGACTCAAAGGTAATATCAAGGTTACACTTCTGTTCAGTAGGTACAATTGTTTTGAAAGTCTTTTTCTGGATGCCAGAGCCTATCTGGGAAAAATGTTCCTGGGCTTCCTGTCTAAGCTCATCATGGTTGTTGCCATTCTTCAGAGCATTTGATGTGTCTTCATTTTGATAAGATGTACAAAGTGGGGGTTGACCAGACTGATCATCTGCAAAATATTAGCATAGTAGAAAGATATGGTGAGTATATATAGCTTCTGAGGTGGTCATCTTTACCAGAAAACCTGTTTTGTCAAGGAAGTAACTAATCACTGATATGCCAGTAAGTGGAAGTCTGATATAAAAACTGTATCTACCATTTTCTGAGTTTTAAAACACTTAGAGGTACTTTTCTTATCACTGATACCTTTTTAAGCAAGTGTCAAATTGTTTTCAAGCTTCTTGGAAAACAGATGACACAATGAAGGATCAAGTATATACATTTAAGAACATTTAATATTTACCAGTATGTGAAAAAATGGGCTCCAACCACACATTTTTTTCACGACACTTGACTTTTCAACTTCTACCATTTCTATTGGCCTTACTTTATCTTATATTCTCATGATCAACATATGATGTTACTGTATACTGTTTAATATTCAACACACATTTACTGAAGATCAATCATATGGTACTGGGAAACAAAGATGAACAACCTTGGAGAAATCAGTCTAGTAAGGAAAGCAGATATAGAACAGCGAGTCATAATAAAACATGATAAAAACTGTGGAAGTATAGGAATAAAAGGCACCTCTTCCTGCCTGGGGATGTGAGAAAGTGTTATAACAGAGGTATTTCTTGAAAAATACAAGTGTAATAGCTGGAATAAGAAGAAAGGGCATTTCAGAAAATAACACAGCACTGATAAACTGCATACAGCATTCACAGGTTAGGACAGAAACAGCATAAATCAACAATATAAAAAAAATTGAGAAAACTCCCAGAAAATTTATCAACAATCATATAATTCTGTTAATGTGACACTAGTAAAATAATATTTGGTACAGAGCACGTTTGAGTCCTTATTGTGGCGAATTTAGTGGAGATTACATCCAGGCAAATTCAGGAGTAGTCAGTTTCAATGAAGCAGGAAGACCTCCTAAGAAAATAAGATTTCAAACCTCATTTTGTGCAGGGTAGAGCTTAACTGAAGCACAATCTTCCACACATACTATGTAGTGAGAAAGATATACCCCTTTGTAAGACATGATGTGAAACTAGGAAGCCATCCAGGTTTTTAGGAGGTTGGAGGGGTGACAACAGTTAAGAAGGCATGAGCATAGTTTGTTGTAGACAGAAATAGAGAGAGGCGGTACTACAGAGGTCTAAAGTTTAGCAATAAGTGTGAGATGCCAGCATAATGTGAGAGAAGCCAGGATGCTGGTTATCTTTAAGAAACAGGGGATGGAGGAATTTTTGATTGGGAAGGGATATGAAGAGAGGTTTTGGTGGTGCTGGCGGTGTTCTATTTTTTTACTTAGGAGATGGTTATATGGTATTTGCTGGACTGTAATTCAATGAGCTATACACATTTTTTTATTGTGTTCTTCTGTACATGTGTTATATTTCACCGAAGTAAAATCTGAGGAAAATGGGAAAATATTTAAAAGATCTAAAATGGACATACTGACTGCCTTCCCTCATTCAATAAGTAGTTATTGTGGGGCAATTATGTGCCAAATTGGTACTCCATGGGAGAAATACAAAGGACTGAGAGTTAGTAGACACACAAAAATATTTCCTAAAACTTCACAAACCCCTTAATTCAAGACTATCACATGTAATTTCCTCTAAATAAGTGAGATACAGATACTGAGCAGTCAGCTAAGCTTGCTTAATGATTAATACCACACACCATCCTTACATATTAGGGATTTGAATTTGTGGCTCAAAATAGTGTTTGGTCAACACTATTAAGACCAAATTGTGCATGTTGAGAATCAATTGTAAGATGAAAGAGTCAGTACTAAAAATTCATGTTTTAATCAATGGCTGGGGAGTAATTTTCTTTTTCTTTTTTTTTCTAATGAAGAGAGAATACTAGAAATACAAAAGTGACCTACATGGTAACTTGAGCAGCTTTCAAATTAAATAATTGTTTTTTGTCTTTGAAATTTTGAGATTGACATTAGGGTTTGGATTGATGATATTAACAAAGTCAAATTCTTACCAGATTCTTCTGTTTTAAAAGAACCTTTAACTGTTAGATTAGTTTCATCTGCTAAGACTACATTGGGATTGGTTTCCATATGCTGACTGGAAATGCCTTGTGATAAATTTTTATTATTCTTTGTTTTACCTGTTAAAAAGGGAACAGGGAAACAATTGGTTAAATGACCAAAATAAAAATAAGCATCAATTAATGAAGCTTGACAGTGGTCAAGCAAATGTTAAACTTTGGTTTTAATTATGGTATTTTGGATGTTTTTAATATATTGCCTTGTGTATCACTGACAAGTACAAAGATTTTTCCACTAGACACGTAGTTCTTAAACCTTAGCCTATTATCAGAATCATCTGGGGAAGGGAGCCACAAATGTGCATTTTTAACATGTTCTCAGATAATGCTGATACTGCTGGTTGAGAGACTACACTTTGAGAATTATTGCACTAGGTAATAAGGTTGAGGGAAATATCCAACTTTTTGTATTCCTTTTGTATTATCCAATTGTGTTTGGTACAATGTATGTATAGTAGTAGACTTCAACACATTTGTGCTGACTGGCAAAAATGCCCACAAAAAAACAAAACAAACTGTTCTCCATTTTTACAGGTTAGCTAGTTTCTTCAAGAAAAAACACAACAAAAAACAAATTCCCTTTCATATCCATATAATGTTTAATGAAAATAGAAACTTTTCAGATGCTTAGTTAAGCTTCCAAAGAAACAGAAAAACTTTTTTCTTCTAACTGCCTTGAAAGAAACGGTCTTCTTACCATAGTCAAAGAGGTCAAAGAGTGCTTGAAATGCTGGATCTGATTCTGTCTGTTCCAGTATATCTTGTATAGCTTCTTCAGACATATGGATTTCACTCTACCAGAGGGAAAAAAAAAACCTAATTGAATTAATATGGTTTAATACCAGCAAAACAATATATTTCCAAACATTAAATAAACATAGGAACTATGTATGCATATATATACAAAATTGAGGATATTTTTTCCATTGATTTTTAGAGAGAGTGGAAGGGAGAGAAAAGGGGGGGGAGACATTAATGTAAGAGAGACACATTGATTGGTTGCCTCCTGCACATGCCCCAACAGGGCAAGGGATTAAACCTGCAACCCAGGTACGTGCCCTTGTCCGGGAATGGAACCCGGACACTCTTTGGTACACAGACCAATGCTCTAACCACTGAGTAACACCGGCCAGTGCTCTCTTTCCTTTTTTTTTTTTTTTTTTAAAATCCTTGACAGTACCCAGACAAAAAAAGGCTGAAGGAGTTTATCACCACCAAAGCAGCATTGCAGGAAATGTTAAAGCCACTGCTGTAATTAGAAGTAGAAATAGAGAGAGAAACATAGGCATAAATAATTAAAATGGCAGTAGATAAGTATCTGTCAATAATAACCTTAAATGTAAATGGATTAAATGCTCCAATAAAAAGATACAGGGTGGCTGAATGGATAAGAAAACATGACCCAAATATATGCTGTCTACAAGAGATCTATCTCAAAACAAAAGACTCACACAGGATGAGAGTGAAGGGACGGAAAAATTTTTTTCCAGCAAATGGAAAAACCCCAAAAAACTGGAGTAGCAATACTCATATCAGACAAAACAGACTTCAAAATGAAGACCATAACGAGAGACAAGAAAGGTTACTACATAACACTAAAGGGATCGATCCATCAAGAGGATATAACCCTGATAAACATATATGCACCCAATACAGGGGCACCTAAATATATACAAAACTTCTAGAGGAATTTGAGAGATCGACAGCAATAGTTTTACTAGAAGACTTTAACACCCCACTGACTTCACTGGATAGGTCTTCTAGACAAAAAATCAACAAGGAAACAGTGACCCTAAATGACACACTAGATCAGATGGATTTAATTGACATTTACAGAACATTCCATCGCAAAGCTGCAGAATATACATTTTTCTCAAGTGCACATCAGTAGATAAGTGGATAAGAAAGCTGTGGTACATTTACACCATGGAATACTATGCAGGTATAAAAAAGAAGGATCACTTATCCTTTGGGACAGCATGGAGGGAACTAGAGAGTATTATGCTTAGCGAAATAAGCCAGTCAGAGAAAGAAAAGCACCACATGATCTCATTCATATGTGGAATGTAATAAAATAAACTGATGAACAAAATAGATCAAGAGACACAGAAGCATGGAAAAGATTGAGGGATCTCAGAGGGAAGGTGGGGTGGGGGATTGGGTGGGTAGAGATTAATCAAATAATTTATATGTTTATAAGCATAACCCATGGACAAAGACACTGGTATAGGAAAGGCCTGGGGCTGGGGTAGATAGGGGGTGGAGGGAATCAATGGGGAGAAAAATGGGACATCTGTAATACTTTCAACAATAAAGGTAAATTTAAAAAAATAAAAAACAACATTTTTCTAGTAAATCTCATTTTATTCTAAACTTTAAAAATTAGAATGAAAAGAATTTTGAGATATGCATTCCAAAGGTACCTCCAAATAAACCTTGTAAATAATTTTAATTTATTTTTAATTTTCACCCTAGGACACAGTTAGATGGAGGGAGGGAGGGACAGAGGGAGGTAGAAAAGGAAAGAGAAATAGGGAGGAGAGAAAAAGAGAGAAACAGATGTAGAGAGAAATATCCATCAGCTGTTTTCTGTACATGCCCCAACTGGGGATGGAACCCACAACCCACGTATGTGCTCTGGCCAGAAATCAAACTGGCAACCTTTAGGAGGTTCCAGGACCACCATCACCCAAGAAACTTACACCCACCCTACATACCATTCCCCCATCTAGAGAATTCCTCCCCTTGACAAATCACTTCCCTTACCCTTACTCAGGGAACAGTTTCTGATTTCTCTCACCATGAGGCAAATTTATATTAATAAAACCATACAAAATGAATTCCTTTATGTCTATCTTCTCTGGTCAATATAACTTTGAGATTTACCTATGTTGCTATATTTATTAGAAGCTCATTCTTTTTTATTGTTCAATAGTATTCTATTTTATGACCATGTCAAAATTTCTTTTTGTTGATGGACATTTGGTTTGTTTTCAATGTTTGACTATTATGAATGTTCTTGTGTAAGTCTTTTTGTGAACGTATTTGTTTCTTTTGGGTAAAAACCTAGTATAACTGCCTGATCATCAGGTAGGTGTATAGGTGTCTATGTAACTTAGTAAGAAACCATGAGTTTTCCTAACAGGCTATATTATTTTATATCCTCCACAAGCAATTTTTCAGAGTTCTAGTTGTTTCATATCCTTACCAACATTTGGTGGTGTCAGATTCCTTTTATTTTAGCCATTCTAAGTGAGTATGAAATGACATCTCACTGTATTCTTAATTTTCATTTCCCAAATGACAATGTGGAGTACTTTTTCATGGGCTTATTACTGTATCTTCCTTTGTCTGCTATAGTCCTTCACCCATTTTTAAAAATAGGATGATTTATCCTTTTATTATTGATTTGTGGAAGCTCCTTATATCCTTTGGATATAAATTCCTTGCCAGATATATGTATTATGAGTCTTTTCTCTAAGTTGGTCCTTTGTCTTTTAATTTTCTTTAATGTTGCTTTTAACAAGCAGATATTATAAATTTTAAGGAAGCCTTTTAAAATTATTACTACAATTTGTGAATTATATAGCCTAAGAAATCTTGTCTATCCCAAGGTTAAAAAGACCTGCACATAGTTTTTAAATTCCTACTTCACCTATTTGTACAATTGGCTGTTCATGCCTTAGTGCAGCTGATGCATATACTACTCTGTAGGATATTATGTCTTGCTGTTCATTTAAAAAGTTATTTAAACCTGGATATTTAACTTCTGACAGATACTGCATAATATTATAAACAATCAACAGCAGAGGGTTGTATCATCACTTTAATACAGTCTCACACAGTATCTAACAGACTGCCTTGATTACGGTAACCATCTAGTTTTAGATATGTTTGTGGAGAAAATATAAGCAAGGAGTTTGAGACTATTAAAAGTTAGAATAGTCAACATGTATTTGTAAAACATTAAGAGAGAAGAGGCTGTAAAAAGTACTGATAGGTAATGTAAAGGTTGCTTTAAAAAGTTTATCCTATTTTGTTAAATTTTCTGAATTTCTCCACGGGAGAATATAACACATGTTTTCTTGTTTTGAAAAATTATTCTGAAGGAACTGACAAAAAGAAAAAAATTCAGTGGTTTTACCAGAATTCATCAACTCACAGAAAATTCACTATAATGAATTTATTTCGTGGGCTTGGCAACAAAAATGATTACATTGCCTGACAGGACAAGTAAAAGGATGTGCTACAGTCAGTCTTAGCTGCTCTTCAAAAAGGATATTTACTCATAGACAAATCTTAAAACATATACTGTTAAATTCGTTTATCAATTTACACTCTTTCACCTTCACCATCACTGAATAGCAAGTGACTATTATTCCCTATTTTCCTTCTCTTAGTGGTAATCTCACAAAATTACTCAATTAGTTAGTAAGTAACCTTTCTTTTTTTCAAAAAATATATCTTTATTGATTTCAGAGAGAGGAAAGGAGAGGGAGAGAGAGAGAAAAACATCAATGACAGGAGAGTCATTGATCAAGCCCGCAACCGGGCATGTGCCCTGACTGGGAATCAAACCCTGATTGCCTAGATCCTAGGTCGATGCTCAACTGCTGAGCCACGCCTGGCTGGGCAACCTTTCTTTTTAAGTGTCTTGTTCATTTTATTTTGTTAAATATTACTTGAATTCACAATACACCTTCAACGTATCATTTCATTGGTTTTTTAAAAATATTTTTATAGTTTGTAGTAGTGTAAAGAAAATTAATTTATTATACACTGTATAGTGCTGCTTACTGCACACAAATATACCCATTAATGAATCTTTTAAGTATTAAATACTTAGAAATACATGACTGATTGCCGCATGGATATAGGAAAAATATTTTACTGATGTCTGGAAGAGTTGGTTAAAGTTATTAGATGGGTTAGAAATGTCTTATTACTTTTACCATTTAAGTAAGGCAATTTTAACATATGTAAATAAAATCATCATGCCACATGCCTTAAACTTACACAGTAATGTATGTCAATTATTTCTCGGTAAAACTGGAAAAAAATAAAGTCACGTGTCACTTAACAATGGGGTATGTTCTGAGAAATGCATCATTGGTCAATTTTGTCATTGTGTGAACATCACAGTATGTTTTAAACAAACTGAGATGATATAGCCTATTACACCTGTAGGCTGTATGTTACAGCTTATTGCTCCTAAGCTACAAACCTGTATAGCATGTTATACTGAATACTATAGGCAATTTTAACAGAATAAGTATTTGTGTATCTAAATATATCTAAACATAGAAAAGGTACTGTAAGAATATGGTCTAAAAGGCAAAAAATGGTATACTGTATATAGCAGTCAGTATAAATGGTGTTTGCAGGACTGGAAGTTGCTCTGGATGGATCAGTGAGTGAGTGGTGAGTGAATGTGAGGGCCTAGGACATCAGTGTACACTACCACAGGCTTTGTAAATACTGTCCCTCCCCAACAGGTCAGCAGTAAAACATCAAAGCTGTCAATTCCGCTCTGTGAACTGGGATGTGGGCTAGACTGATTGGAAATACAGCTGGGTAAGGCATACATCACCATAATAGTGGCTGTCAGGAGGAAGTGGAAGGTGGCCTGATAATCAGCAGGAATAAGAAATCAAAAGGTATGGAAACATAGGCGATAGGGCCATGTGGTTTTGGCGACTGCATGTTGGACTGGTGGTTAGATTAAGGAACTTGGTGGTAGGCCTAAAAAATGAGGGTGTTTTTAACATGGAGATGGCGTAGTACTAAGGACTCAATATTCTGACTTTGGAAATTTGTTTTTGGTTCCACTGATCCTATCTGGCACAGAGGGCTCTCTCTGGCATTGAACTGATGGAAGAAATAAAATGTATCTATGCTTTACAGCATTACAACCTGAAAATATTTCCAAAGTCCAGGGTCAGGCTGGCTCCACACTATCACAGAAAGTTTTTACTAAAGTAGCAGTGGCACTTTATAGCTGCTAAGGTAGCTTCTGTGGATCTCTGTCCTTGTCCAGGATCTTAGGTCCTCAACAAAGACTTTACACAATGTACTCAGAAGACCATCAGGCTAGATCTGGGAGGGCTGTAGCACCCCCTAAATATTTAGTGCAGAGGACAGGTTCCTCTGTGCTGAAACAGGTCAGTAGCTGCCTGAATGAGAGGTAACCTGCATACTCAAAACTGAGGTGCTGTGGGTGAGAGGGAATCTACTGCCAAACCCCATAGATGCTGCTTCTCTCAGAAAAAAAAATTCCTCCTGAACCACATATCCTTCCATTTCTTACAGGAAATTCAATTCTATTAGTAATTTATTATGGGATCACCTTTGTATATATGTGGTCCATCATTGACCAAAACATGATTACGTGGCACGACTCTAGTGCAATTTTGACTGATTATTTGAAAATTCACTAACACATTTTCAGCAACAGATTACATCCAGATAATAAAGGAAATCCATATATTAAATTAGTATTTTAAATAATTTTATATATGTAATCTATTGGCAATGATTTTGGAATGAAGCCAAAATACCATCATTTTTAACTATGAGTATACCTGTACTACACACACAGCCACCCTTACCCATACCTGAAGCCCCAGGAGTTCATCAATTGAAGTTTCTGGTTCAGTAGGGTTGCTATCTGTTTGCTTAGGTGCTTGAGCAATATTGTTGTCACTGTAATACAGAAAGGAATATTTTTAGTATAGTTCTCAATTAGGCAAAAACAATCAGGCATTTTAAACACACACAGCTTACCTAGTCAGAAATTTATTAATGTTCTCTGCAAGCTTTTCTTGAAGAGACTTGTTGCTTAATATTTTTTCTCGTGCATTTTCGATAACCATTTGCTGGAAAAGAAAGTCATTATTACCAAAAGGACAGATAGAATATTATGTTATTTATTTAAAAAAAACAGCAATTAATGGAAGCTGGATAGTTTTAATAAATGTAGGTGGAAACTCAGAAGTTATGGTGGCTCCCTCCATATTAACAACCGAATACTACCTTTTACAATTTTTAAGTGTTCACAGATCCTTCACCAACCCCTCTGCAGTGATTAAATAGTTAAAACTCTAGCTTTTCATACAAGGTTTCTAAAAATCTGACTCCAGTAAAATGCCCTATTATATTCTGTAATTCCACACAATGTATTTAGTGTTTCCTAAACATACAACTGTTTCTTACTTGGTGCGTTCTCACGTACTATCTATTCTGAATGAGCTGTCCCTTACTGCTAAACGTCGCCACCCTCTATCCCAAGGCAATTCCACTGCACTGTCTTTGTATATATCAATATTTTAAAACTCAGAAACAGCTTAAGTTGCAAAGTTTGGGAAGGTCACTTACTTTTTCTACTGCAAATGCATTTGGATCCTGCAAATTCCGTATTGTTGATTGAGGCCCAGACAAAGTGGTATTTTTCCTTTGAGATTCACTGAAACACATTTTAAAAGTTTGTTTTTCGAGTAGTATGATTAACAGATTCAATGATAATTATGCATACAGACATAATATATACATTATAAATACAGACATAAATCTTAACATCACAGTAGAATAGATATTTTCTCGATTTATGGTAGGAACAAAGGGCAGTTGAGTGGAAAAGCATTATAGACTTGAATTAAGAAAAAATGGATTTGAGCTCTAGCTTTACCACTCATTAGCTATGTGGTCTGCAGCAAAGGTAAGCTATGACCCTCTGATTCACTTTATAATGGGATAAGACCAATTGCATTATTGGGTTTATGAAAGAATTGAATGAAATAAAATATATGAAAAACTATAAACAGGTCAAGGTTCCTATTAGATATTTTTATAGTTGTTTTACTATTTTAATGGTTAAGTGAGAAAGCTTGCCATAAAGAAGGCTGAGGTTAGCCTTGACAGAAAGCCAACAGGAAAAATTCCAACAAAAATACCCATCACATGGCAGTTGAGAAATCAGGGTAAAAACTAATATCCCTTTTCTGAATATCCTTCAAAGAAAGACACGTGGGTTAAGTGGGACAGAAGAAATTTTTCTCAGACTGTCCCTGAAAAGATCTCTATTGACTTCAAATATGTGTTTTGTAAACCCTAAAACATGCCAGTATTACTTATATTCACTTTAAAAAATCTGAAATAACATCAATTTTAAGATATACTTTTCTGTACTACTACAGAAAAAACATATTTCTAACAGAAGTGATATCCATTATTATAAGACACCACCTGATTTCAGAGAGGGTACAACGTAGGAAAAAAAGTTTTCAAATGGATATTACAGTAAATAGCCCCAAGAACTTAATCCAATCTTGTTATTTTATTTAGAATGTAAACATCCAGGTGTACATCCTTCTTTTTAATGGCTATTAGAAACCTGTCCTTTTAAAAAACATTTACCTTTTTCGTCTACCAGGAGACATTAAACTGGCATGAGTTTTCTTCTCCTGAGAACCAGGAATGATATTTAAAGTCTCTCCAGCTGTATTTCAAGAAAACAAAAAGGAAACTGAATAGTTTTTTTAAACTTGAATTAACGGAATAAGTAGCATTACAAAATTTTATATGTAATTCAGTTAGCATACACTCAGTGCCTACTATGTACAAAGGCACTGTAGAAGATATTAAGATGAATAAAATATAGTACCTACGAATTAAGGTTCTGCAATAAAACACAAAATACAGTATAATCTCAAGAAAAAATAACACGGCAGAATGAAAGAACTATAAAAAGTATAAACTAAGTGTTTACTATAGTACATATATACTAAGTTTTTACCCAGAGGTGTGTAAGAGGTTGGAGAAAAGACGGAAATGAGGAAGAATGGATGGCAATGAATTTTAGCCGCACAGAAGAGAAAGAAGACTGGTCTAAAAACAGAGAGCTGGCACCTCAATTATAATCCCAACTCTATTATTAACTGGCTTTTGCCCCTTAATATTATGTGTTTTCAAAAGTTTCAAGTATACAACAAGCAAGATGTACCCAGATGTTTTCCAAGTTTAACTCTAGTTCTAAGATTCAGCCAGGAGTATAAAGGATTTTCAATATGTAGAGATGGAGGTGAACTAGAAAACACTCCTCATCCCAAAATGGAAGGCTAGCAGAAACAAAAATAAGGATGTGATGATATATAATGTGTATTCCTTTTAAAATCAAATACAATGGGGCCTTTTCTATTAATGTAGATAACTGAGATATAGAAGAGAGTTAGTTCAATGTTGGACTTCAGTTAGAACAGAAATAAGAAGCCTAGATTAAAATGTCTCAGAGATTTAACAATATGGCTACTTTATGGCAAATTTATTGAAAATCTTTCTTGCCCTTTTTTGGGCTATAATTTTACACTATGAGTGTAAAGACAATAATATATCATCTCATTTATACAATTTGATTAAAAACAAAATTTATGAGTGTAAAATTTAAACTTACTGGTCACCATGTCTTGAGATTGTGAATGGTTAACCACTACAAAATTTGACCTCAAAGGAACTGAAGTTTGGCTAGTTGGTCGAATAACTTGTGTAGCTGTCATTGGAGCAGTAGTAAACTGTCCTGAGAGATACGGTAAAGTCAGTAACTCTGAAGTGGCGGGAGCTACTTGAGATGCAAGCCTTCTCTGCCGTTTGATTTCTGCAATTCCACTTCTTGTTCGGGCTGAAACACGTGAGAATTAAAAAAATTAACTCAATGTCTGAGTAGTTTCAGAATTTGAGAAGTCTACATGATACATACCCTACTATTTAACATATTAAATCTATTGAAAAACAGCCCTTAAAAATATTAACTAAGTTTATGAGATGTCCTAAGAAACAAACTAAAATTAGAAAATTTAAATCTAAGAGTACATTAATTCTGTTATAATTCATACTGATAATACCTCAAAAATTTGGAAAACAAACTTATAGAATGAGAATGAAAGATGTAAATACACATAAGGGCCAATAAGAAAAACAGGGAGTATTTCAAATGCTTATTTTTACAATAAATGAAATCATTTCCTATTATTAGAATAACTGTACTTAGAAAAGCAGGAGTTTAAACAAAATATATACTTAGTACACATGTAATGTTACTTAAAATTTTCTTCTGACACAGTATGAGGTAATTCTGAACATTATTTAAAGTTGAATACAAACCTCTCTGATTGGCAGCAAACCCTGGGGAACCTTGCATGCTCCTACCAAATAAAACAAAGTAGTTAGACATTAAAAAACTTCTCTTGCCAAGTCATACTCTATTTAGCTGCAGAAAGACCTGAATTCAATTATGAGTTAAAAGGCAATACATCTCTTTCAGATAAAAAACACAAGCACCTTTTTTTGGGGGGTGGGGCCAAATCTTATTTGCTTTAGTAGAAAAATAGTGGCATGCAAACACTCACACACAAATAACTTTAATAATCAAGTTTTTATCTAATGCAATATGCATTAGAGAGCCTTGACATCCCATTAAGAGTACAACCTGACTTGACTTTAGGAACTCAATATATATATAATTTTACAACTACCAGTTATCTCTTATAATTACAGAGGTGCCTTCCTAGAGAAATTCTGATTTCACATCACTCCAGACATAAGTATTTCAGAATCCCAAAGCTGATTTCAAAGGACATTCTGTTTTTATCAAATTTATGACTATGAAATTATTTCATCCAACCTCTAAAGGAGTTAAGCAAACAAATAAGAAAATTCACAACACAAGCTGATTCTCCTTTTACTATGATTTGAGTTACCCATGTATTTGGTAAACGATCACAGACACTGTGCCACTGTCCTAGAATGCTGTCAAATAAGTTGCTACCAATAAGAACCACAAAACTGACTGAATCAAATACGCATTTTTAATAATAAACCAATCTTGGGGAATAGCTGGCTAAGAGCCTTTTCTTTATACGTAACAATGCTGACAATAAAATATCTCAATAGCTTATAAGTACTTACAGTATTAATTAAATGTGAATGCCTTGAAGATTATTGGCAAGGGTAGAAAATACAAGAGTCAGGAAAGGGGAATAAAAGTAATACCAAATAAGATGCGTTACAGTGAGATATAAAGCATGAGAGGTATTTTAGCAGTTTAAACTGAGTAAGGAAAATGAGGCCCCTGCTGAATTTAAGTGGGGTACTTGTAGCTCTGAAAGAAACGGTAAGAAACTAAGGTTTTTCATAATAGAGTAAGTAGTAAAATAAGAGAATTTATAAAATTAATATCAATAGGGCTGGCATTCCAAGGCCCTGACCAAGGTAAAAGGTGAACATTAATTAGTACTACGTGAATATCTCAAAGTAGAAGACTCCAGAAGTATTATTACTGAATATCTCAAAGTAGAAGACTCCAGAAGTATTATTACTCAAGCTTGCTGCTTTATAATGGAAGAACCGAAGGGGCATGGATTACATACATCAACTCTCTGCAAATGTAATGAAAATGAAACTGTATAAGGGAACTGGGATTAGGAGATTTGTATTCATACCAGACTGGGATTAGATTTATATTCTGGCCAAAGATATACCGATAAATTGCTATGGGAATTTGGAAATGTCCATTAAAATTCTCTAAGTCTCAATTTCCTCTTTTCTAAGCATTTTATGAAAGTATATAATTTATTTCAAATTATTCCAATCAAAGAGAAAGAAATATCAATAACCTCTAGAGCAATTTCAAAATTAGACCAATGTTTTATAAATGCACCATGTGAGTCATAGGAAGATTTAAAACTCGAAGTGATTCTTACATGTGTTTGCATCCCAAAATCATTATACACATTCTGATAAGCTAATTATATGAGATTTTCATTACCTGATCTGAGAAAGTGTGTGGTCTAACTTTTTCCACAGAGATGACATAATTGCTGGGACGTGATTTGATGTTTCTAAATCATAAGAGGAAAAGTTTCTTTAAAAAACTCAGTTGGAAAAAAGATATCATTTAATTTGAATATACAAAGAAAATGATTGAGAAAAACAAAATTTCCTCTCAGCTGCTGACATTATGCTGGAAACTGAAGTTATAATGAGACTGCTTTCTCGTCAAGCCAATGAATATCAGATGCAATATGAGTGAAAATGGACACTTGTGAAATCTCTGAAACTTTATTTAGATTATTAATGTTGTATCTTCTTTGAATTAAAGACAAACTATTTTAAATCTCTGTTCTAACATCATGTGACATTTGAAAGTGAATTAAAAATTAGATTTATAATAAGTAATCATAAAGATTATGCAAAATCCTGTGAGTATGGAAATTAGTTTTCTACATCCAATTATTTTCAGGTCCAAATCACTCTGATTGCTCAGCAATCCTTTAAAAAGTTTTACCACTTAGAATTACAGGAAAATTCCTGAGGACATCCTAATTAGTTTTTTGTAGGATGTGCTCTAAAACCACAACGAGTGGAAACTTGTGAGATGTTTAAAATCTATACCATCTATTTATAAAAAGTCAAACCAGAGGAAAGCTGCCCAGCACAGAAGTGGTATACAAACCCTTGTATTACCATAGCATACTGTTTCTGATGTCACTTACACTCTGAATATTTCTGTAAGATAGTTAAGATACTTTGAGAAAAGAAAAGTTTGGCAGAAACGTCAAGTAACCTTCTTGAAGAGTTAGAAATGAAATTCAGGCCCAGAACTTTCAGGTCTATTACTTTCTGCAGTTTCTAGTTCTGTGATCTTGGAAAAATTATCTGGCCTCTCTAATCCAGTTTTCTGATCCTTAAATATGGGTTGAAATAAGCAATCTCTCTCACTGAATTATTTTAAGGACTAAGATTAAAACATATGAAAGCACCTAGCACAATGCTGCATACAGATAGTACTCAAACTCAATGTTAGGCTTATTTCCTTTTTTATGTTATCATTTTATGCTAATTATTTATTGCCAATTCTTTCATTAATGTTGTAAACTACAGAAATAATAACTATTAGAGAATAAAATAAACAATTCTAACTTTCTCCCTAAAACATTTATTTAGGAAATAACTATTTTATATTCTGATAAATATAAGCCAGAATTTTATGACTGGTTCCTGTGTTCAGATTTAATAAACTTAAAATTAAAATATTAGTTTGAAATTTTATAACACATAGCCTATTCATCAAGGTCCCAGTAAAATTTATCTCATTACAATGGAGACAAGTTTTCTTACTGCTTTTATAAGGTGTTACTATCTTTTAAAAATTATTTGTAATTAAAACAATTAGATAAATGCTATCTAAAACAAACAAAAATCTCAATGTGAATACTTACCTTTTGTTTTCATAGCTACATATTCATTCAAAATGGTTGTCAAGTTTTTTCCAAATAAGGACTGAAAAAAAAAAAAAAAAGATCAAGCATTACCAAAATTGTTTAATACGACCAATCGTTTCCCACCATGAAACATTTTACCATATGTAAATTGATAAAGGATCTGGGCTGCAGAGTAGCTGATGAAGAAAGTATAAAGAGGTCATCTAAAATGAAAACAGTCACTCAAGTTAGGGGTTGCAAAAAATCTTCTAAGGGTAAAGAACCTTGGCTGTTTGGATGACATTGTGACTGTGCTTTTTAAGCCAATATAGCCCAAGGCATAAAAGCAGTTTTCAGTTGGCAGGAGGGATCCGGTCATAACTGTTTAAAAACAAGGATCCATGCCTTTCTATCTTGCAAGCCATGTGCACCTTCCATTTTTACTTGGAATCATCTCATAAACTCAGCCCCCTCCCCACCTCCATTTCTACAACTGCTAAAGGATAGAGGTCATGTAATAAAATAGAATTTTTAGAGCAGACAGTTCTAGTTTCAAGTTAAACACTTACTACAGTTGTGACAAATCACCTAAATTCTCTAAGACTTTCTTTCATATATAAAAATGAACATATTAATTCTTAATTCACAGAACCTTTTGTTGTGAAGACTGAGGATACATGTAACATAACTAGGACAATGGTTAACACATAATAGGTGATTAGTTCCTTTTCTGTTTCTGATCTTTCACAGCAGCTTTCTATTTTGTTCTTCTTTTTCTTTTTTTTAAAAACTATGTCTTCATTGATTTCAGAGAGAGGGAGAGGGGGAGAGAAACATCAACGATGAGAGAGTCATTGATCAGCTGCCTACTGTATGCCCCTCCTCCCCAGGATTGAGCCTGTAACTTGGCATGTGCCCTGACTGGGAATCGAACCTCGATCTCCTTGATCAAAGGTCAGTGCTCAACTGCTGAGCCATGCCGGACAGGCTGTTTTTCTATCTTAATTAAAGCCTTAAAAGTTAGGGGATTAACTTAATACTAACTTTTCATTATACCTTGTATTATTTCTAGTAGCTAATAATTAATGGCTGAATGGCTCAATTATGGACTGAATTGTGTCCTCCAAGATTCATGTGAAGACATGTTAAGGAAGGTGGTCTTCTATAAGCCAGGAATGCAGTCTTCACCAGAAAAGAAATTAGGGTCACCCTGATGTTAGACTTCCCAGTCTCCAGAAATTCGACACGTAAAGATCCGGGTGTTAGTTGTGCTTGTAACTACTAGGGTATTATGGCAAGTAGGCCCTCATAGCAGAAAAAACAACACAAACACAGATACATTAAGTCATATATACAAACATTATATATTTTTACAAATATTAAAACAAACACTGATATCTGACTATAATTCAACACCACAGGTTGTATTCTTTTCTTTTTAATTAAAAAAATGTTAACGTTGACATTACTGCAGCTGACTCCCATTTTCCTCCCCTTTGAGCACCTCCCCCTCTCCCCCTTCCTCTCCCACCCTTGGTCTTCACCAAACTATAGTCCATGTTCATATTAATATATGTTCTTTAGCTAATCCCTTCACCTTCTTTATCCAATCATCCCCTCCCCTCCCCTTGGGCACCCGACAGTCTGTTCCATTTATCCATGGTTCTGGTTCCACTCTGTTCATCAGTTTATTTTATTCATCAGATTCCACATATTAGTGAGATCCTATGGTATTTGTCTTTCTCTGGTTTATTTCACTTAGCATAGTATTCACCAGGCCCATACATGCTGTTGCAAAGGGTAAGAGTTCCTTCTTTCTTACAGCTCTGTAGTATTCCATTGTATAAATGCACCATAGCTTTTTTTATGCACTTACCTGATAATGGGCATTTGGGCTGTTTCAAGATCTTAGCTATTGTAAATAGCTATGAAGGTAGGGGTACACATATTCTTTCTGACTGGTGTTTGTGGATTCTTAGGATATATTCCCAGAAGTGGAATCGCTGGGTAAAAAGGCAGTTTCATTTTTAATTTTTTGAGGAAACTCCATACTGTTTTCCACAGTGGTCGCACCAGTCTGCATTCCTACCACAGGCTGTATTCTTATCTTTATTTGTATCTTCTCACAGAGCAAGAAACCTGGCTCCCATTACCTACAATATATTTATTTACTTGTTCAGAGTTGATAAGTAAATTCTTCTGAATTCTTCTAAATTAAGATTCATTCATATAGTTTGAATCAACACTGTTACTTTTTATTGTTCAGTAGTATTCCAAGGTAGGAATATACCACCGATAGTTTATTCACTTGCCATGAAGGCTCTGACAGTTAAAAAAAATTTTTTTACACTAACCATTCTAATAGGTAAATACTGGTATCTCATTGGGGTATTTGTAGTTTCTTAACAACTAATGATGCAGAGCATTTTTCATATGCTTATTACCATCCATATATTTTCTTTGGGGCAGGTTTTTCAAATCTCTTGCCCACTTAAAAAAAAAAAAAAAAAAAAAA